AAATCACAATTTACTATCACTATATGGGGCTATTCTACGCAAAACATCTGAACTCACATGTTGTCTTTGTCCTCTCTGATATTGTCTATCTTCGCTTTATAGCCTTACTTTAGATAGTCCACTAATTCCGACTTTTCGTTTGGTTCTTCATCTATCGCCTTGATTACGAGTTGTAGCAACCATAATATTAATTTACCTTTCTCTTGCGCGCTTCTCAGACCCACAATCACTCTAACATAATAGCATCGTACTGGGTGCAGTATACCGGCTTAACGCGTCAACGAGTTGCGTATTTTTCACTGACTAATGACAAATTTTATAACTGAACTCCTCCAAAAATGCAAACCGCCTAGTTGCCTGTACACACAAACGTTTCTTCAGGGTCAGGAAAGTCACTAACCGCTTTGGTTTCCCTTTCTGATGTATCGTGTTTCACTTTGCAAATAGGAGTATAACAGAACCAAGTGCGGAGATTTGGAGAATATAAACTAGATGCAATAAGGAATCGCATAGTGAGTTCAGCAGTGTGGTCAATGGAAGAAAATAGTTTTAAGGAAACCATAAATAATTACAATTCGAAAATGGTCGTGTGTAAAAATTGCCCACGTGGGTATGCATCAAATATTGAACTTAGATAAATGCACTGCAGATAAATAATGTAAACTACAGATAAGCAAACAAATTACTAATACACACAATGCTTGGATGCCTATTATGACAAACGAATTCATAATCAATCCTAAAACCGGTCAGACACGCAGCTCCACTCTTTCCTATGCTGTGCTAATCTTTGCTCTTCTCTAATCCTTAACTATTTGTGAATAGTTATCTAATATAAGTCCACTTCACCTCATCTTACCTCCTGCGTTTCTCATTTTTTTTTATTCTACGACGTCTTCAACTAACTCTTCCTACCTGAGAAGGTGCCTTGCCTTATCTCGCCTATTTCCTATTGACTTCCATAGCGCCCTCTGTTCTGCTACTCCTAATATCTCCTCATTTTTAATCTTCTTTATCCACGGTATCCTCATCAGTCACCTGTAACATCACATTTCGAACGCTTCTAGTCCCTTTAACAATATTTTTCAAATTCATAAATTAAATGTTTGCGATCATAGAAGTTACTTCTTTTTGATAAAGCTGACTCAATCCTGTACTATCCTCTGCCCTATATCTCTGCTGTGCCTTCCATCCTGAGTTATCTGACCTCCTAGATACCGAAAATCAGCCACCTCTAGTTTTCATCTTTACCACTTCCAATTTATTTAAGGCTATCTTTAACTCCTCCTTTTCACATGCTAATACTGCTGTATCATCTGTAAATTTAAGAATATTAACCTTTTGCTCTTGTATCTTTAAAGTTGTCCTGAACTGTAGTAAGTAGTACTTATAATAAGAAAGTGTAATAAAGATTCCTGATAACCGAATAAATGAGGTGATAGAGCACTCTAAAATATGAAAATTATGTAAGTGTTTGTATATTCGTAAAAAACGTAGTCGAAATTACAGATAATTTCAATTCCGGCCATAGTATGGAAACACGACCCGCAGTGTCGCATTCAATCAGCTGGTAATTAGCAACGTCAGTGTGGTACTCGTTTTACATTTTTGCTCATGTGTTGTTAATTTGTAAGATTAGATTAAGTGTGATCTAAGGTTTTTATGTAAACAGGCAACCTCTTTAACCTTTAAACCTTGTATGATACAATGGATCTGCCAGTTCAGTAAAAAACATCAATCATTATTAATGCAGGTCAGTATATTACTGTAAAGCAGTCGTTAACCATAATATGACATGATTTTTAAGTACGGGTTTAAACCACATCGCCTCTGTAGCACGAAAAGAAAGTGATCTTCAAACCAGAAACAGCAGGGAACATTGGCTACTTTCATGTGATGAGTGTGGTAAACTGTAAAAAGCCAGTTGCTTCATCCTTATCATTTGCACAGAGTGTATGCTTGCTTGAAACTGCAAACGGATGTGTCGGTGTTTTCTTTTATGGGGTGTTATTCACAGGCAAATTTGTTACACGGGACGAAATTTTGAATTTTAATTATCGACACAACGCAAATCTGCAAGTCGTAGGTGCATCCTTAGTGATTTCAACAATTGTTTTCAGGAAATGTGTGGTGTGAAATTTTTGAAGGCTTATTCGACTTTTAATTATTTACCACCAGCGTATATCAGTGTTATACTTTTGCATTTCTTCCTTTTTAAGTACATTTAACATCTTGTCCCATTTTACATTGTCAAAAGCTTTTCCTAAATTTACGAATCCTATGTGAGCACTCTTTCTTTTTTCTATCGTTTTCTGTATTATTAGTCGTAAAGCTACAATGGCTTCTCATGTTCCTCTATTTATTCTCCTCCGGGATTTTCTTCGTCTCTTATATGTGACAAACTTGCCTTTAGCTTTTTGTCCGCCTGTATCCCATCTATATCTAGTGCCTGATTATTCAATCAAATTATTTTCTCATTGTAGTATATTTTAATTCACCTAATTCTCCTAATTTTCCGCACTATCTTCCCTCTCCAGTATATCTCCTAACCCTTAACCTGCGTATAGGTTTTCTAAATATTCATTCTAACTGTCTCCTTTTTCATCATTTCCTATCAAAATTATACCTGTCTCTCTTATTATATTATTATTACTGTACTCTGTTTCTCTAAACTTCCTCCTAATTATATAACAAGCCTCATCCGTTTTACCTACTTCAAACTTTTCTTCTACTTCTTTACACCTCATATCATTTCACTTTTTCTTAGCTGCCCTACACTTCTTAATTATTTTGCACTTATATCTTTTTTGCCCTGTCTGTCTTCTTCTTGGATTTCCGCCTTTCTTCTATTAGTCCTACAATCGCGTTTATTATCCAGGATTTCCTACTTTCGTTTTGTTTAAGAGCAAATATATCTCTAGCTGCGGAATCCAAGTACATTTTAATGAAGTTCAATGTTGTTTATACGTCCCTGTGATTTGTTTCTCCTGCCTTCTTTAGTGCTTTGTCTGTAATTGTATCTAACCTATCGCTCGTTTTGTTACATTTTAGTTTTTCTATATCATCTTTTTCATAATTTTGAATTTAAGGTTAGTCTTCTTAACTGCTATGTTAAGATAGCTATCGATATCTGCTCTGTCTCTCCGTCCCTGTCATTCGTTTCTCCTGCCTCCTTTTTAGTGTCTGTCCTTGCATCTAGCGTTTTGTTACATTTTAGTACTTCTAAGTCAAGACGTTTCCTATCCTCACCTCTTTTTCATAATTTAATTTTGAATTAAGATTGGTCTTCCTAACTACTAGGTTATGATCACAGTCCCTTTGTTGCCTAACAAGAATGTAATCTAATTGATATTTTTCTAAATCAGTTGGCATTATTCTAACGTGATGGTAAAATGAAGTTTTTGCCATGGTTAAGTTATGTTCATCGCAAAATATTATCAATTTAAATTGCTGCTGCCCTGATTCGGCTTTAATGCGTGTATAAATAAAGGAATAAGCAAATAAATAGTTAAAACGAGCTGTAAGAAACAGTCTACCACGCTTTCAATTATTTATTATAATTACTATTCTATACCTAGGTGTATTGTGCTACTATGTTTTTGGGAATTCATCCACCCTCTTCGATTATTTGTCAGAAATGCATGGTTACACTTAGAAATCTAACTTGATAAAACTCAAATCAGAGGTGAAACATCGGTATTACTATAATAGAACTTTTTACTCCTATTTGGCTCTGATTTCTTTTTTTTTAACATAAACTAAAGGGGAAGATACTACTTAGCGAAGCACTTGACATCTTTACTTCAATGATAACTTATATGCACAATACTTGCATTATATTAATAATAAAACGTAATATATAACTCTGGGGAAGTGAAAGTGGAATAGCAAGTAACAATCAAGGAAATACGAATCACCCATATGCGACTTATAAACGTAGGGATGGGCCTGAAGTACAAAATTAGCAAATATTTAACTGCAATAAAACATTTATAATAAGCAATCAATAATAGTAGGATTCAAGGAAATGATTAACAGAAATAATCGTTCGTCTCAACCCATACATTATATAAAAACAGACTTTATGGAATAAAAGTAGATACCAAATAAAAATGAATTCATAAATAATAAGGTGTATATAATGAGTATTGTAATCGTAGGTTAAATATTACGGAATCAATAAGCATATTTTTAATATTTATTAAGTGATAAATATATATGCTTTGGCTTCAAATACGGCTCTATTCATAGTTTCNTGTCTGGAATTTCTCGAATTCTTGGTTATTTCGTCCCAGTCCAACTGCGATAACGCGTTTTCCGCGCCCGTGAAGTTCGTCCCGTTGTCGCTGTACATCGTGTTTGGCCGACCACGGCGTGCGACAAATCTACGAAAAGCCTGAATGAAACCATTGGTAGATAACGAAGTAACTGCTTCTAAATGAACAGCCCGAAATACGGCACACGTAAAAAGGCATATCCATACTTTGGTCCCATCCCGTAGATAAAGAGGACCCGCCATGTCAACCCCGGTAACTTCAAATACTCTTGCCTCACGAACTCTGTCCAAAGGCAACGCAGAGGATTCCACTTGAAACGGTTTGGAATTATATCGTTTGCAAGCATAACATTTCCCAAGCGCAGTCCTTATTGTACGTCTTCCACCCAAGATCCAGTATTTTTCTCTTAATTTACTTAAGATACCCTGCACACCCAAATGTGCACAATCAATATGCTCTTTCAAAATAAAAGCTACTAAAGAATATGGAGTATTTACTTTCTTGTACGTATTAATTCCTGACCTGTTAGAAGAGAAGAGAGAAGAGTGTTGAACATTAGGTTAAAAGTATGTAAGAAGAACAACATTTCTAACTATCGTAAATGAGTAAAATATCATCTTAGGCAAAACAAATGGAAAATATGTCAAACATCAGTCGGTAAACATTACATAACAAACAATAAAATTATTCAGCGTGACAACCCAAACCTAACTTCATATCAATATGGAGGTGATGGAAGATGGTAATCTGATGGATAAGGTCCATATTTTAATTCAACGGGATCTGAGTTACTATAAGGTAGGTTTTTATCATAAAGCTTTCTTAAACAGAATGCTATTTATAAAAGTCATTATCTGAAATGCATTTGAATTTTAATTTTTGAGATTATCCATTGGTTGCTCCTTTTTGGTTTGATCTTGTGGTAGTAGTTAGTCGTAAATAATCATATAAGTTCCTATTTTCCTACAACGCTTTTCCTTATTATGTGAATTTCCTCAGGCACTACAAAAACAGTTACAGTTAAGTAAGGTGATATAAATAAATACATAAAATAATCACTGATCAAGATAATGGAATTAAAACTAAGTTAAAACTACAAACAATTTACTGAAAATTTAAGCAACAGATCGTTATCTTTGACTATCAGTATGATCTTATTGTAGATTTTAAATTGTCCCATAGAAAATAATGAAGATACTATATAAACACTTGAAATTGAAGTGATAGTTGTAGGATAAACTAGGAACAAAGTAAAAACAAAAATTTCTGCATTATTAATCTACTATGATTAAAAAAAAGATAAATTGTTTGTAAACTTAAAAATTTTTGTTTATTTTTCTCAATGAACTGTGTGTTTTAAGAAACAATTGAGATTTGACGTGTTTGAGACTCAAAATATCTTTTAAAATGGCTTCAGATAATTCAAATGAAATGTCGACATCACCAAGACCTATAGTTGCCAATTGGCAATTTTCGAGCACCAAATATTCGATTTTTTGGACGTGGTTTTCATTGATAGACCTTGATAGTTACCCGAGGCGCTATTTGCTTTGAATTCGTTTTCGGCTGTCATTATAAATTTTGTATCACTTGTAAACATTTTTTTTGCTACACGTCCTCATCATCAAAGGCCTCCTACAGCACTCATTGTTTCATGGGCAGAATATTCATTCGGTAAATAACATTTAACACAAAATACATACTCAACGAATCATAGTAAAAATCAAAATACTCACTTTTGTAGAGTTACTAAGTATCCATAATTTCCTATTTAGATCACTAGTAAAAAATAAGTGTATCGAAATAAGTTGTTTAAAATTGCAATTACCACTAGATGAGTAAGTCGATTTCCAATCGCATAAATATTCAACACTAGGCGCGCAGCATTTTGTGAAAAGTTTGGTTGTGTGATCCACACATGTAAACCGTTTTGTTTTGTCATTACTAGAGTTCGGAATATATGCACTAAAAAATAGCAAATATATGCATGCAAATATGCTTTAAAAATCGGCAAAATATGCATTAATATATGCGTTAATATAATTTCAGGATTTTCTGTCTTTGTGTGCCCTTCTAAAATGCTGTTTATGTTAATTAATTGCTTAAAACCCGAATTTTTATCGAATACAAAACTAAATTTATTTTTAATTTTACTTGCTTTAGAAGAACAAGAGTCAATTTTTTCTTTAGCAGAAATAAAAACTTATACTTTCGCTCGGCAACAGACCTCTAGTTTGTAGTTTTTCGATACATTTTGAAAGAAAAACAAAATTACTATCGATATATGTAAATTCATTTTTTACATGAGGAGTATTTAAAGTAGTTTTGCATTTGTTAATAGCCGTACTGTCGGAAGAATCAATTCTTCAATGACTTTCGCGTCTGCATATAAACACCAGTTTACACCGATCACGAAGATTCGAAATTTTATAAAATTGTACAAAAAAAGCAAGTTTATTTTGAAAACGAAGAAAATATTACAAGTGTATTCGTTGCGACATTTTGAGAGAGAGTGAATTCTGTTAGTGTATTATTAAGACTGACATTCGATATCATTTACTATAAACATCTGACAACTGGTTGTGTCTCATTCCCATATCTTAAAATAACAATTCATAAAGGACAAAACTATTTAAATTGTGCAGTCTCTCACACAACATCCTCCCACCTGAGGAACATTTTGAGAACAACAAAAAGTTTCTCATACATTACAAAATTTGAAGTTACAAGTAAAATGCAAGCAACAGTAACATATAGAATCTTACAAGAACAATAGTTAACACATTACAGAAATTTAAAAAGAAAACCTTTGGGGCGGTTTACACACACGTCCATTGCGCGTTTTAACGGGTACTCTGCTTTTTTCACAAGACACTTCCGCACTTTTAATCACCCTTCTTTTCCCTGGAACCAGCGAAGAAGTCGGGGAACTGGCTCTGGTTTCAAACGATGGCGATGTTTCGTTGCATTCTAAAGGGTAAAGAGGTTAAACAGACCTCAACAAACTTCTCCTCGAAGTCTCCAGTCTGACTAGTCGGATCTGGTTGTCCCGTCCCGGAACTGCTTCTAAATGAACAGCCCGAAATACGGCACACGTAAAAAGGCATATCCATACTTTGGTCCCATCCCGTAGTTAAAGAGGACCCGCCATGTCAACCTCGGTAACTTCAAATACTCTTGCTTCACGAACTCTGTCCAAAGGCAACGCAGAGGATTCCACTTGAAACGGTTTGGAATTATATCGTTTACAAACATAATATTTCCCGAGCGTAGTCCTTATTGTACGTCTTCCTCCCAAGATCCAGTATTTTTCTCTTAATTTACTTAAGATACCCTGCACACCCAAATGTGCACAATCAATATGCTCTTTCAAAATCAAAGTTTCTACGACATGATGTTTAGAAGGCAGTACAATAGGGTGTCTAAAATATTCACTGTCTTCTCGATTCGAAATCCTGGTCTTCAACCGAATTAATCCATCCTCTCCGACGAATGGTCTAAGATGTTCTATTTTCTTGGCGTTGTCTCCTGAAAACAGCCTAAATCGTTTTTAATAAAAATCGTTCCTCATCATCAATATTCTCTACCGTCAGTTCGCCTTTTTGTTTCTGAGAAGGATTTCTCAAGTTACGTACAAAGCGAAGCATCCTGGCGATCATCCTCACCGTCTTTGAGTATCTTGAGAAATAACACAAATGCCAGAAATCTGTAGCGTTATCCAGAAGTGTCGTTACTAATTTTTTCCGTCGTTCCTGACCAACCTCAATTTCATCTCATTGAGTTTGTCCGCTTGGCCAGCTCTCCATATTCTCATAAAGCCACTTCGGACCCTCCCACCATTTTGATTTGAGTAACTGCTCAGGGTTGCAGCCACGTGAAGGTAGATCCGCTGGATTTTGATCACCCGGTACATGGCGCCATTCAGTTGAAGTCGTTAACATACGAATCTCTGAAACTCTGTTCCATACAAATGTGGCCCATTCCTCCTGTCGCTGAATTCATGATACCATTGTGGACGAATCACTCCAAAAAAATGACTGTACCTCACTTTCCAAATTTTTTCTGACATTAGCGTACAGTCTGGCACCAATAACTGCAGCCATGAGTTCAAGCCTTGGTATTGTTAACTTCCGTATTGGTGCTACCCTTGATTTAGCAGCCAACAGGTAAACTTCTACATTATTCATCTTTTCCACTCTGAGAAAAATTACAGCGGAATATGCGTTCGTGGTCATCACAAAACGCATGTATACTTAAATGTTGGATGCCTTTTGTACCTGTACCTGTCCAAAGAGGAATTTCTATTTTCAACAAGTGAGGTAAACCCCGAAGCCATTCACGAAAAGATTTCTCAATTTCCAATTCCACTGGTTCATCCCATGGTCGCTTGCCCTCCCATATTCGCTGCAGCAACAATTTTGGTACCAAAGTGGTTGGACATGTGAACCCAATCACGTTGAATACTCGTTGCGCAACAGAAAGGATAGCCCTTTTCGTTACCACAAAATCTTACAAATTTGTGTTTTTCGTTAGAAAGTCATCACTAATCCTGAGTGTATCTCGACTTCGATGCAAACTTTTGGATATCCTAGCTATAGTGTCAAGAGAATATTCAGCTTTGCCCTCTTCACATCTTTTCCGACACTCGGCCAGATGATATTCAATGGTTGCTCCCAAAAGAAAAGAACTATTGTTGATTACAAATACAACGCGTTTATGTCGATATGTGATCTCTTTTCCATCAGGATCTACCCATAAAAATTTCAGAAAATTGCGATCACTCTTATTCAGGCTGATTTGTAAAATGTCCGCTATTACACCAATCGGATTCTCTTTAAACCTTAATAGTATCGAAGGTATCAGTTCGATCAAATTTGCCCCCTTCTCTAGACATTGATTTAAAGAAATTCCATTATTTTCTCGGGCTGACGCATCAAAGACTGGTCTTATTTTCGTTGTTAATTTTCTTTAATAACTGGACGATGGGGAAGATAATGACCTTGACTATGGGAATTGCCTTCCTGGGCATTTCATATCTGTTGAGCCCCCTTGTAGTTGGTTGATAAGGGAGGATATCCCTCTAACCATGGCAATCTCACCTCATAACATCCTTCATAATCTGTTTTTATTGTATCCAGGAAAAGTTCCTTCGCAGCAGCGGCTGTCTCATCTTTTGATCTTTTTTCGGAAGGTTCTGTGATCCCCAATAATTCCAGTTCCCATAAATTACTTATCGATGAGTCACTGACCAATAAAGATAAAGTGACCATAGCCATAGTGGACTCAGATTTGGCCAACGGTACTTTCCCCATTATTGTCCAACCGAGAGTTGTTTCGACAACCACAAGACCACACTTCAATGGAATCCTATTTCCCGTATACAGTTCTCCAGCAACATCTGCCCGTATGAGAAGTTCAATGGGTCCCGTTCCATGAGAATCAGAAATTTCAATATTCATATTTTTTAGTTCTTCCGTCCACGGCCCATAAAAAACTGACGACAAATTGTTGCAGATGGTTGGTTGATCCAAAACTTCAAATTTGAAATTGTAATTTCCCTTAAAGACATTGACTTCATAACAATTGTGGTTAATCATTTTTTCGGTCCCGCCAAACAAACAGTGCATAAGCTTTTCTTTACGTTTCGGACCGTAACCCAATTTAAGCGCAGTTGATCTTAAAATATACGATCTGTGAGATCCCGTGTCGATCAAAGCACTCACCGCGAAAAAACCGCCTTCGCATTTTATGATGATTCGTAAAGTCTGTTAATAAACATGCGGACTGGTATGATTCGCTAACGTTTTATCTTCATCACAATTATCATCCGATTTACCAGTAATCGTACTGTCTTTTAAGATCTGTTTATTTCCCGGTAATGCAGGACACATCAGCGCTACATGTGATTTGTTACAGATTACGCAACGTAATCGGCTTCGACACTTCTTCGAATTATGACCTGGTTTTAGACATCGATAGCAAGCGCCCTTTTCGGATAATATTTTCTTTCTTGCTTCAAAAGACAACTTACGAGACCCGAAACACGATTTCGATTCATGATTTCCGCCGCAAAAAACGCAATTTATGTCGCAATTTATAAAACCCGCGGCAGTCGGCACCATTGAAGTAGCTCTTTTTTCTTGTTTCTTCCTGCGACCCGAATCGTCCTGGCGAACCGAGGAAACAAAGTTTAGACCGAACGCGGCCAACGATATTCGTTGTTCATTTTCGACTTCACTTCGCAGAAAGTTCATTAGGCTCTGGAGAAGATCTCCCAAATTCTCGTTATTTTGGTCATTATACAAATTCAAAGAGACCTACGATGTACTTTGTTTCAATGTAAGATTAGCGGACGATGATCTCTGCCAAACTCTTAACAGTTCTTGCGGCAAGCAAGATTCTATAAGCGGAAATAACGTTGCCGAACATTTATCTGACGTTCCCAAAAGTATCCAATGCCCGCAACTGATATGCATATGCATTATTCAAAAGTCTTGGAAATATGCTTGCATATATGTTACATGCATTTTGCATTTAATCCGAACTCTAGTCATTACATTTATGGCACCTTATGTCACAAAGCATTACTATAGATTAATTATCATAAGGTTATCAATCCTAAGACTGGTTGGACACACACCTTCACTCTCCTATCTTGAGGTAATCTTCGCATTTCCCTAGAGCATCTCACATCCTATATAACTATTTGCGAACAATAATATAACCTAGGTCTACCTCTACCCCTCGTAACTTCTGTTTCTGCCTCTAATATGTCTCTGACTAGACCTTCATGTCTGAGACCTAACTCGGTTTGCCTCTGCTCGTTAGATTTTCGCCTCTTATTGGTCAGCCCCGCCTCCCTTTTGTGTCATGTGGGTGTTTTTTGTTCTTATCCGCCATTCTGTTAACGCTTTCCATTTTGTTAATGACGGGATGGGCGTGACATCGTCCATTTTTTTTGTCATTGTTACGTTTTTGTTGTTTTTTTAACGCCTACTGCTACACGCCGCGCGTCAAATGTTTATGTATGTCTCTGTATGTGTTTTTGTGTGCGTGTGTGTGTGTGTGCGTGTGTGTGCATGTAATTAAAA